AGTAGAATAGTAAACTAGATGAATAGAGACTATTTATCTTAACTAAACGAATAAATATATATTTCTGAAATATTTTTGTATTTTATAGGATATGCTACTCAATTTGAAGTGTTTCTCCTTAACAAGTTATCATGTTATTTGTAATTATAAGCATTCGGTTTTGCTACTTCTTCGTTGTATTCAAATCTCGAACGATTAACGTTATATCTTTGTGCACATAACGATGATTCATTCATCAATGACACACATCTCAATGATGAAATTCTTATTCATATGCCTTTAACTTCATACATTCATATTTTATATTAGCACAGAAACAGTTGTGTGTGATTTAATTCATCTTAAATCAAATGATGATATTAAAAAAACCACTCATAAACACAAAATGTGAACAAATGGCTTGTATTACAGAATGTTCCCATATATTTAATAATATATACCATATTTATCCGCTTCCATTCACATTTACTTATCTACGAAGGATCGGCAATAAATTTCCAAATATTGTATTTGACGATGTAACTCACTTGGCTGTCTACGATATCAGTCCAATGAAACATGAATTCTTCATGCGAATTAATCAAGCTTTTCCAGTATTGAAGTGCTTATCTATAAAGAATCAGATGTTTCAGTCATTGAATCGTGATGAATTTATATTTGATAATTATCTACCATATTCAATGATCAAATATCCTCATCCTATATTAGGGGTATACCGCTCAGGTTCATGAGTGTGAGCGTTTCTGATTTAACGAAAGCATGAGTGTCTCTGATCACTTTTTTAAACTTTATTCCGCGAAAATCGACATTGACGATTTTTTGTTCCTGGGGTCCCCCTCAGGTATCATGAAAGAAAATTTTTTTTCACGAGTCAAAATCAGATGTAGTAATAGATTCAGAGGTGCTAGTTAAGAACACCACAATGAGAGCTCTCGAAATCTTTTTATTCCTGGTAATAGTCCTAATCATTCTGTGCACTCTATTCTTCATTATTAGGGTCTTCATAGAATAGTTAATCATTGAAATTTAGCCAGAAACATTTTTGTTACCCATAATTTTGAATTGTCGACGAATCTGAGCTTGTTACGCCGAAAAAAGATATAAATTTTGGAAAAAATGGTCATTCCGGTGCAGAAATGGATCTTTTTTAAATACATAGGATTTTGTCCCGATAACATTTTGGGAAGCCACTATTATCGCAACATGAAATTTGGACCATTAGGATAATTTTTCAAGCTCTCACGGTTGATAACCTCAAAAATAATTGAAAATGTGTATAACATGGTCAAAAACTTGAAATTCTGACAAAACTGACCGGCTTGTCACTGAATTTGCGCATATGTGCTTGCTGTTCAGCACGAAAATAGCCTTCCTTAGACGTAAAACTCGAAGTATACATCTTGCTTTTCAAGTTCTATCGGTTTGTAGAGGCTAAAAACTAGAAAACAGGTAAGACGCAGCGAGAAGTCCAAAATATACTCAAATTCGACATATTTCTTCTGAGTTCGGCTATAAAGGCGTAATTTTTAGTATCAAAGTAGGATTGTTAGGACACCATATTCGAATTAAATGCGTAATTTGTCTATGCCCTCTTGATTGGCAGTCTGAGAGACGAAGAAAACATGGTACAGCTGTTTTCAATGTCTGAAGTCTGAAAACTTCTGATCAGTTTTTACTGTATGTATGTTCATCTATATTTTTGTGATCTTGAACGTGAAGAGAAACATGCTAAGGCTTTGAATTCGCACAATATTAATTTCCTTACGGTGTTCTTTCACCGAAAAGCCTTATCTGGAGAGAAAGAATATAGGAATTTACGAAGAATATTGGAAGGATGGGGTCCCAGGCAGACAAACTTTTGAAAAAACGCGTTTAAACGCACAGAAATTGGTCTAAAATCAGAAAAAAATGGACATTTTTGGCTCACACTTGAGGTTTCCGACTATGAGCCAAAAATGTCCACTTTTTCCCGATTTTAGACCAATTTCTGTACGTTTAAACGCGTTTTCTCAAAAGTTTGTCTGGCTGGGGTATGGGTGTGATAGAAAAGAAAATTCACATAACAACATTCACATCCACACCCTTAAAGATATATGTGAGTTCCACATTTCAGCTCCAAAGGAGTTGTGCTAGCAAGCTTTTTCTTTTTCAACTTGACTATATTCTCAAGAAACATTTCATAATTATAAAATGCGAGAGAAAAAATAATATTTTCTTTTATGATTATTCGAGAAACGTAAGCAACTTGCGAAAGCTTAATGGTTTTTTTTACTTCAGTATGCAAAATGATTATTGGCAAATTCAATTGCATTAGAGAGGCCTGTGAAAAAGATTCACATTGAACAAAACTTCTCATCTGTCAAATGAAGTGAATAGAACTACATGGTTTATTGCCTTTCAATATGTCATGACGAAGAATAAAATAAAAATTTCT